TGATGGAGAGGAAGTTGAATATATTACTCTATTGCAATAGCAACGATGCATTAGTTTATGTGTGAAGTTTATATGATATTGTATGAGCAAATATGATTAATCTCTTAATATTGACTTTTTATACAACAATATTTATGTGAAATATTATATTAACTATTGCAATCTTTTTTTTTTTCTTTCTTTCAGCATTTATTTTATCCCATTTAAATGGCCTCCTAGGCAATCGTGATGTAATATAAGCTCTTTTTGTGTTTTTTTTTATTTTTTTTGTTTGGAGGTCTAAGATGAGATGTATAACCTTATAGCTTCTTGTGGATGACATATATATTGCTATAGATTTTGACATATATGAGATCGATATCAAGGCAACTAAGATCCCTTCTTTTTTAGTCATGTGACTATTTGGGTTCTTCTGGAGGGACTTTGTGTTGATATACTTTTGTGAAATATAAGAGTTCCATATTAGTTGTTTAAAGGAAACCAAAATCGCTTTTTTTTAAGATCTTATGTCTTCTTATAATGACAAATTATTCGTTAGTTACTTTTCTTTTGAGACCTCCTAGTTATATAATTTTTTATCTATGTATTTTTTGTCATTTTATTAGTTAATTTTTCATATAGCTTTATTGTTGTACTATTAAGGCAACCTAGTTTTATGTTTGGATTTTCAACTTTCAATAAATATGAGCTCATAGATTGCTAGTGCTTCTAGAGTTTTGTACTGCAACTGTAGGTTGCAGTGTTCTCTACATTTTTTTCGAAGCTATGCCCTAAAACCTTAAGTTAGCTCAATCATTATTGGCTGAAATTAACATAAATAAATTAAGTTATTAATCCACTAATTCTCCTGAAATTGCTTAATTAACTCATTAATAAATTAATGAATCTATAAAAATTACTTATAATCATCTAATTAAATCATTAAGAAATTAACTCATTAATAAATTCAACCAAGTAATAAAATACTTAATTAAACTAATAATCCTTTAATTAAATCAACAAATTTAATTAACTCATAATTACTAAATTTAAGATTAAATCTACTTAATTAACTTAAAAACCCATAATAATTCATCAAATAATTAAATAAAACATTAATCAATTAAACCCAAATATAGTCAGTTAAACCCATAATAATTCAAATAAAAAATTAATCATTTAATCAAGTTAATAATAATAAAATTAAAACCTTAAATTATTTAAACGCAACATTAAATATACAAATAATTAAATAAAATATTAAACAACTTAATTAAAATAATAATTATTTAATTATTTAATTAAATTAATTGAAATTTTGATTAATTCATAAAATTTTAATAAACTTATTAAAATTTCAAATAAATTAAAACTGCAATTTAACGAAACCTTAACTTAATAAAATAATTGATTAATTAGTTTCAATAATTCACAAAAAAAAATTATCTAACATGTTAAACAATTAAATTAATTAACATGCTAGTAGTTATTATAATTTCTACATAAACAAGATATAATATATTATAAATAACTTGTTTTCAATGAGGTTTTATACTTTGGGTTTTGAAACATTTACATAGTTAGAATTAGTAATACTTTTTGTGAGATAAGAAATAGTACAGTTGCCTAAATGAAAAATGTGAAATTTAGGTGACTGCCAAGTATTTTTAACTAATTATTTGAAAAGTATTTTTTTTTTTTAAGAAACAGAAAATACCCAACCAAACATATTTTATATTTTATATATTTAAAAATATAAAAAATCACAATAGTATCAAACATGTTTTCTAAAGATAGAAAACAAAAACAAAACAGACTGAAAATAAAAACATAAACAGAAAACAAAAAGTGATCCCAAACAAAGTCTAACACTATGAGAAAAAATAACGAGTACTATTAAGCAAATTATAAAAGATTAGCTTAGAGAATCAAAAAGAAAAACTCATATGGGTAAAAATAGTTTATAGTTAAATAATAATGAGTATGAAAAACTAAGAATTGAAAAAGAAATATAATGATTTGTAGGGAGTTTGAGAGCATAATTTGTGATATAAAGAATTTTATTTTTAATGATCCATAAAATATATTAGATAGTAAATGCGATGAAAGTTGTATGTATAAAATTGTAAGTAAAGAGGCAAGAAAACTAAAAAATTGATTCTAGATAAAATGTATTAAAGATGTAAATCGAAAAATATTTTTCTTAAATGAGGATATTCAACATAGGTGGGAATAATATTTTGATAAACTTTTCAAAGAAGATTGTGAAAATATAATTGATTTTTATAATCTTAATATCTTAATTAATAACATTTTTTTTATTTCCACCGTCGTAGAAGGTAAAACAAAAGTTGATGAAGCTTAAAGCAGTAGAAACTGATAAAATTACAATAAAACTGTGTAAATCTTTAGGATATTTAAGAATTTGTTGGCTTATTAAAGTTTTTAATATTATTTTAAAAAAATAAAAATATATCCAATTGGTGGAGAAATAGCCTTGATTAATATTTTTAAGAATAAAGGAGCACATGAGTGCAAATTATAGAAAAATTAAGAATCGATCATGCATTAAGGTTACAGGAGAGTAATTGAAAAATGGGCTACAAGGTCATACGAATATTTCTCAAAATTATTTTGTATTCATGTCGGAAAATCAAGTACGTAAGCTATAAATTTTAATGAAAAACTATAGAGAGAATAAGGAGAATTAACATATGATTTCTATTGATTCTAAAAAAAAACTTATGATAAAGTTCCAATAGAGAAATTTTGAAAAAATATAGAAAAGAAATGTGTTGATATTCTTAAATTTAAGTCGTTAAAGATATGTATACCTGAGTTATTACTTGTGTTCGAACACCAGGAGGATTGACAGAGTTTTTTTTTTTTTTAGTTGGATTACATCAGAGATCGGCTTTAAGCTCATATCTTGGATGCTCTTACTGAACATTTATAGGAGAATGTAGCTTCGTGAATGTTTTTAGCTAATGTTATCGTTCTTGTGGATAAGGCTAGAAAGAAAGTTCAGGAAAAACTTCAAATTATGGAGGTTGATTGAGTTTAAAGGCTTTCATTTGAGTTGACCTAAAACTGTATACATGGAATACGATTTTAGTAATAGTAGATCAAGACATTAAAAGAAGTGAATGTTTTATACATCTCTAGGTCTATTGTTTAAAGTGATGGTAAAAAAGATGAGGATGTTAATAGTAGAATTCAAATTGATTGGGTTGAATAGGAAGATGCATTGGGCCTTACTGTGTGATTGAAAAGAATCACTTAGACATAAAAGGAAATTTTTATATAAGGATGGTGACACCTGCAATGCATTATGACGCAAAATGTTGGCCTCTAAAAAAGAAGCATAAAATTAAGTTGTGTTGTTGAGAAGAGAATGGGTGCTTCTTGTTGTTGTTTGTTGTTTGTTGTTGTAGTTCATGTTCAGTTGAGAATAATGAAGTGGATGAGTACTTTTACACTAAGTGACAAAATACGAAACAAATATATCCTTGAAAGAATTAAAGTAGATCAATGGCAGACAAATTAGAGAGTCGCCTTTGATAGTTTCAATCATCTGATGACCCTATAAGTTTTAGATTTGACTTATGCTAAGAGAGATAGAGGTAGACTTAAAAAGACTTCATTGTACAAAAAGGTTGTCGACCCCACTTAGGGGATAAAGGCTTATTATTGTTATTGTTGTGTTTGATCACTAACAAGCTAAAGTTTTTTAGAAATTAAAAATGATAATAAATGATTAATTTTACGGCCAAAGCTTCAAATATAAGCTCTACTTATTTTTGAGATAAATCACAAAAAAAAGGGTTAGCTAAAATGGGCTCAAAATTGAAATAGATAAAGTGATGATCTACTTAATATTGATCCAAGAATTTTCATTTTTTATGATCGCGAGCAAATCTAGATTGAATTTTTAATAGCCCATTCAACCTTGAGCAGGCTCATCAATCAACGAGGCTCCTATGAAGGAAAAATGTGATAAAAATTTTGTTAAACAAGACACATGACAACATCAATTCCTCATACATGGGAGAATAATAAACCGCCAATCAGTCAATATTTAAATGATTTGAGTGATCTAGTCCATTTTCCATTTTTCCATTAATTTTGCATCGTCTACTCATACCTTATATCATTTAAATGTTCACAGGAAGATTAATTGACTTAAGGCTGGTTTAGGTAGGTCTAAGCTACGGTAGGATGTATATTATTATGAGATTCATAGTTCATGAAATGCTAGTAAAACATAAATAAATTCCTTCAAGTAATCCAAAAGTTTTAAAATAGATTATATAGCTTTAGCTTTATAACAAAAAAGCCAAAAACCATATCAAAACTTATATAAATAGCATAATATGGAGGGCAAGCATCTTCACCGTAAATAAAATTACATGATCAAACATGACTTAACTTGTTATTGAAAGTCCTATTAACGCAAAATATATTCCTAAACACATAGAATATCAAACAATTACTAAGTATATTTTTCTTAATATCAATACAATACAAAAAAGACTAAAAAATAATAAGTATAATTAACATGTTATACGATATTAGTAATTTACTAGTTAAGTTGCATGTAAGTATGATACATTATCATATCATCATCATTACTTTACCACAACAATAACTATCCCTTAATTAATTTTGCATCATATAATAGATTATATCTATATGAATTTTTCTTTTTGTTTTCAGCAAAACTGTATGTTAATTTTATTTAATATCTTTCAAAAGAAGATCATATTTTCCTTTACTTTTGCAATGATTGTTCACTATTAGTGAAGTAAAAGGCATACTAGCAAGAGCAACGGAAATAACGAAATTAAATATGATAACCGTCAAAAAGCATGATCATCTTGAATATTTAAAAAGCTGACAAAGCAGTTACTAGCAAATGAATATCCGGCTGACATAAAGATAATTATTTATAGGTCAACCTGTTTGTATGCATAAATATACTTTAGAAATACACATTTTCGAAATAGTGCTACATGTCTTACCTGCCAAGGTGAAAGAAATATGCTGTTCGAATTCAGACATTGCTGTTTATGGTACTTGGGAACAAAATTCCAAAAGTCCTTTGGCAATAATTCGCCAAAGCTTCTGTTCTGAAACTTTTTTGGCAACTTTGCATTTACTTCTGCCAAAATTGAAAGCCCTTTCCTCCCTTGAAAATCTTTATTGGATATCTTAAATTTTAAAGTAGGGTACCACTCAAAAGAACTGCTCTGCTCATGAAAGAAAGCACATATTCTGAGAGAAAACATTTGGACAAAGTTACACATGGAATGAAATCCAACACACTTACAGCACAATATTTGCAACCTGATTTGTTTCCAATTGTTCCCACTTCCTTTGATATATGCTTCAGGAAATTAAATCAGAAAACAAAGCTAGTGTTAGATGAATGCCTATGAATAAAATGCCCGTAAGAAAAAGGTGATCCAAACCAACACCACAAATGCCTAGAATACTCAATGTACGTCTTCCAATAAATGACCAACGGTTTCAGCACAAACAATAAAAAAATCAAGAGCAAATTTGCATAGCATTTTTAATACATCTGCAATGAAAATGAAATATAGTAATATGATTAAAAGAAACTATTCATGCATTCAATCCTCTCCGCCTCAATCCGCAGTTCTATTTAGGAAATCAAACTTTCCTAAGAAAACAGATTTCCATAAGATATGTTTGCAGTCTCCTCTTTATTGTAAATATTTGAATGGGATATGAATAGGTATTTTAACGGACTGTGAGATTTTTTTAAGTATTTAGGAGGGAAAATATTTATTTGGGCTTTGTAACTTAAGTTTGTGACCTCTCCATTTAACACACTAGGTGATGGCCTCACCTTGCAAGGTGTCGTCAAATAAAGATATAGAGGGAGAAAGGTTGTAAAAGAGAAAACCAAGAGAAAGAAAAAGAGAAGGGGGTGGGCATTTATCCAGTAATGGTTAAGGAGGAGGAATTGTGCAGCAATGTCAAAAACCTACTTCTCCATCTCAGCTCTTGCAACAGGCGGCTGTGTTCTTCTCATTACATCACTCAGTTGTATCAAAAGGCTGCAGCTGGCTGTTTTATCGTGCTCTCGAATCAATCGCATAAGAGGCGTCTATTTACTGTAGCCATATATATTTTGATGTTTACTGGAATGTTCTAAATTTTCTGTGTCTTGAATGTGAGTGGATCCAAACCACAAATTTGCACATGCTTATCTTTGTTTCTCTATCGTAGTTTTTGAATTATGGTATGTTGCTCATCTTTTAATCTAACATTTGTTCACATAAGATGAGTACTGAACTTGATTCATAACTTCTATCTATGTTGCATTTGTTCATTCCATCATTTAAAATTTCACAATAAGAGCGCACTTCAAGTTCTGCCACAGCACAAGTTTGAAAAAAGCACCACAATCACCTTGAACTGATGAGATGTACTCCTTTGTTGAAATGGCGTGTGCCTCTGTGCAATTTCTAAGAGGCATAAGCATAAAAAAATTAAGGTTTAGGTAATTAAAAATTTTTTATTTATAAATTTAATATACAAAATAAATCCAATTTTATTATTTCTCTACGCTTAAACTAAAAATAAAAAATAAAAAAAATCCTCAACCCTTAGTCACACGCTACGGCCTCATTTAATCATTCGCATTTGCAGTCACAACTAAGGATAATGCACCAAAAAAACACACTTTAATGATGGTTCTAATAAAAACCCGCTAAGTGATGAGAGTGGAAAAGACTTACAAATTCATAATTTATAATCTTAATGACTTGAGACTTCTTGCTCATGTTGAATTGAGAATATGATACTTATTATTATGAACATATTTTGATTTACCGTTATCTTACATTGATGTTAGTGTGCTATCCATTATTTTTTTATTAATAAATTTGCTTAATTTTAAGGCTTATGCCTCACGAATAAAAAATGTCTCAATACCTGATTACGCAATCACGAGCATGTCTTCCCCTTAAGTCCTTCCTAGATGGGCACGTACTCGCCAATCCAGGCCATTCAGTTTGGTTTCTTTTGGTCGATTCAGCTTCTTCTGCCCACCAAGGGTTGAGCCGGCCCCCATACAATTCTTTTACTTATTTAGCACTATTATTAGGGTTAATTTACTTAGGAATTATATATAATTGCTTTTGAATTTATTTAGACAGGTCGAGTATTCTTTTATGTATTTTGAGATTTTCCCTCAATTTTTTTCTTTGCAAGTGTCATATATTTGCTCTCAAAAGTGGTATAGTGTATCTTGTTAAAGTGCACGTGGTGGTGGACCCTTTTCGACATCATATTCATTCCCCCGCCACATGTATTAATCCTCTTACACCTTTTAAGAACCCAAGATCAATATCATTTGGTATCAAGCCTTTAACCCTATTACATTCCGAAAATCCAAATCCTAACGCACAAAACTTAACATTCTACCTTCACCAAAAATCATCCCTCACATCACTTAAACCTAAACTTTTGGCCAACTCTAGATCCAAAATCCACCTTACTTGGAAACCTAGATAGAGGAGATCTAACATACCACCAATGAGAAATCCTCGAGATGTTCAAAGCCTTACCGTGAAATATATGACGAAAGAAATAATGCAATTGTAACACAAGCTCTTTAACCATGAAAGAAAATGGCACAAGAAGTCAACAACTGTGAGTAATTGGATAGAGAAGATGAACAAAATCATTCTCATCAAAATGTTTCAAGCAAGGAAGAGTCAATACCACATTGAATCAACATTGAGTATATGAGAAGAGATAGTAGCTTTGAAGTAAATATCGATCTACAAAATTTTGATGATCATATGGATCCAAACGAGGTCATCAAGTAGATTTAGAAAGTAAAACAGATCTTTCAATACAAAAATGCTACTTCTGATAGAAAAGATTTTGGCTCGTTGTCAAGACAAATCATATGAATATTTCCTTAAATCACATAGCTACTTATTCTATTAGAATAGATAATGCATTCCTACGAGTTTACTCAAAAAGAGTATTTTGCAGAAATATCATAATGGAGGGATGACAGAACATTTTAGCATGGACAATTCTTTACTTAGCTCAATAAAAATTCGATTGGCCTAAACAAATATGAGAATGAAGATGCCTATTAGACAGTGCAAGATATATCACTAAGCTAAAAAACCTAAGGGAAAAATACAAGCCTATACACTCCCTTTCATGTGGTAGAGTCACCTTAGGTTTGATTAAAGCATAAATTTTGTATGCCTTCCATCGACCCAATTGAATAAATTGACCGCCTCTTCAAAATAAATTTATACATTACCATAAGATGATTGACACTTCATATATTACAAATTATACTTCATGGAAATAATTCATCTTAATTGTGTGCCTTAAACAATCATTTATACATGGATGTAAACTTTCTAAGTCAATTTTAGGGGACCTTATAAAGTAAGCTTATTAAAAAACTCCAGTATAGTCCCACCGTGCACACAAAACAGATAGAAAGATATAGATGATGAATCACAGTTTGAAAAATCTTCTACTTCTCTGTGGGTAAAAACATCAAGTAATGGGACTTGATCCTTCCACACGTTGAATTTTGTTTCCTGCCGATCCAACCC